CCCCCTGTTTTTTTTTGTAGTTCTGGGTGGGGGGGGGGGGGGAGATGTATGTTTATATACATACATATATTCTTGTGTTCTACTTTTAGAAGCAAATTCTTCACTACCTGCACATTCTTAATGAATCATCCACTAATGTAGATCTTAATACAAAAAAATATTAACTTGAGATTTAGATTACATTATATTAATGTGCTTTTATGGTATTTGAATTGAGTTTATTAAAATATTTTAAATTAACTCTGTGTTCCTTTGAAAAATAAGTCAGTTTCAGGGTGGTTCGTATTTTCCAGACTTTTTGTCAATCTAGACTCTTCTTCAAAGTAGTAACGGAATGATGGTGTTGCACTTCATACTTGAAATATATTCAAATATTGCCTGCTAATTAAAACAAGAAATCACAAGAAGAATACTATTCCTGAATTGCTGGGGTGAAAAACCTTTGTCAGTATGCAGCAGCAGACCCCTGCTTTTAGTATGAAAAGAATTGCACTAATTCTGGAAAAGGAACTTGGCAGTCTTTTCTGCCTAAGGAGCAAGATTATTGTCATCTTTCACCATCACTTAGTAATTATTTCTGTAACGCTGGCAGTGAAATAGGGGAAATTAGAGTGGAAAAAAACCATATTCCCCAATAACCCTTTTTTTGTAAGATTCTTGTGGATTGCTTGTCCTTTTGTGATGGTTTTTTTGTCTTTTTCAACCGAAGACTGTATTTTTTGCATGTCTGGTTAAATGGGAGTAGTTATGCTGCATCATCCTAATTTCATGAGTGAAACTCTGAAGTTTAATCAGAGCTTTTAAGGTTATAAATTGTGTCTGGTCACAACTGGATTTGTGATAATTTAGCTGTCAGTGTGATTTTTTTTTTTTTTTTTTTTAATTTTTTTTTTTTCCCCCCACCAGATTCTGGTGTGGGTAGGCAGCAAATTCTGTAAATCTCTATTACTGCTGGTAGGCTGTGTAAATACTGCATCTGTGGCTCCCATGGCAAACATCTGAAGCACTGCTTGATGACTAATTGCTGATAGAGATTGCTTTTGTTTCCCCCTTTAATTTTTATTCAGAAGTCAATGACCAGACAAAGTTGCTCAGCTTCTTTATTTATGTATTTTTTTTATTTTTTTTCCTTCTTTTAATGTGTTTGTGAAAAGGTGATTTTAAAATGTACCTGTCAGTTCAGTGTTTCTGGATGATCCCACCAACTGCAGACTTAGCACTTGGACCTAACAAGCAACTTACATGTTTACTTTGCAGTAGCTGAACGGTAGTAAATATACGTATACTTAATCTGCAGCAGTAGATACTGTTACCTTTTGAATTTTGAAGATGGGAAGAATTTGTCAGGAAATAAGGAGGGAAGAAGTCAGTGTGAAACAGAGTACCCCATAGGTCTTAGAGGGATGGGTTTTCCCCCTGTGAATTGACCACATGATAGCTTGATGTATGGAATGAACAGCTAGCAGATACCATTTTAGGCTGTATTTACAGCATTCTTGCTAGCCTATTGCAGTAAATAATTTAGATTACTTGCCTCTTTCCCAGAAGATAGGCAGCTTGTTTCTCTGCAGACACAGGTACTCTGAATTCTGAAAATAAGTAAATCCTTCCTCTTGAATTACTAGGATTTTTTTGCATTATATAGGGAGGAAGATACTATCTACCTGAATTACTGTAAAAAATATGGATCTTTGTCTCATCTAATTGGATTTTCATAAGTCTGACTGAGAAAAGGCTGCTCTGTTGTCCCTTCAACTTACCTATGGGCTGCATAAATCTTGAGGTTTTGAAACATCTGCTGTTTGCTTTAAGCAACAGTAGACTGCACTGGATGATGACTTGTTATAACTGTGTACACACTTGACTAGTTACTACACTATTTCATAAACCTTGTTATGTACCTTCCTGAACAGATAAAAGATACTGTAGTTCATTTTTGTATTGAGTTTTTGCTAGTGGAGCAGATAATCAGGTCACATAAAGGTTATTCTAGTAGGAGTGAAAATTTATTAGTGTAAGCCCTGAATTCTTCTTTTCTTTTCCAACACATATTTAATTCTGTGTCTTTTCCTATACTTTGAAATCTGTATGGGAATATCTTCCTTACTTTTGGCAACTTAGCAAAACTTGGCTTAATATCTTTAAATATCAGGTTGCTTAAAATACCAGTTGTACTATAACTATGGCTTCTTTTACTCATCCTCACTTACCTACTTAAGAATGCTTATTTCATCCTCACCTACCTACTTAAGAATGCTTACTCTTGAGTCTGGCTCTGAGGAACTGAGAGAGAACAGAAAGCCACCAGCTGAAGTCTTGTTAGCCTGTCCTATGACTTGGTGTGCTGTCTTCACCAGACATAGCTGTGATGTGTCCACAGTTTGTCTTTTCTGAAGAATGTTTTCAAGGGCCATGTCTTTGGAGCAGTGCGTAACTGCATTTTTTTATTACTTTTTTTCTTTTAAACTCGGGCACCAACCAGATAAGCCTGTTGCTTTTGCTGGTAAAGCACAATGCCGTGTTAAAGCTGAGCTCTAGGAATAGCCTCCATACAGCAGAACTAGGACAGTTTTGTTATTGCTTAGTTCTTGTAGGACGACATACTGAAGTCTGTACAACTTCTCTTAGGTTAATGTTGGAGAAGAGCTTCAGGATTTCATTGTAAATCAAGATTTATATAAAAATGGTCTGAATAGAACCTTTTTAATAATCAGATATTTCCAAGCGGTGTCTGACAACCTGATTACAAACTGCCATAAGGATATTTGGACTTTAGTCTGTTGGAATGGGGAGACAGTTTTGAGAGTGATTCTGGTGGTCACTCACGTCATCTACTTTAGTTCATCCTGACGCAGCCTGGAGCACACACGGAGGGTCCTCATGAGTGGGGTTGAATTAGAAGGCAGAGTTGGCTGAGCCCTCACAGGCACTTGGCGCGCAGGTCTGGACAGAACTAATCCAGAGCAAAACTCCCTGAAATGCATATGCAGTGGGCATTGCTCCTTCAGCACCCTTTTGGCCTGCAGATCTCCTTGTTGGGCTGCACTACTTGATATAATGAACATACCCAAACATGCAGTATAACGTTTCTTTTTAGTCTTTGTAAACGTACAGCTTAGGTCTCATTTATCTATGTTGCTGAAGTGCCTAGTGTGCTCCTTACTTTGGTTAAGACAAAATTAACTGCTGTAATGAAACTATGTGTCTTGGAGAACAGCTGCTGATGTTTATTGTTACATGGTTGATTTTGGTCGCTTTTTGTAGTAACGAATTGCCAAGATTAATAGGAAGCTTTTTTTGTTGTTTTCAACCTTTGCTTGCAAGTTCAAAAGTAGATACTGGTAAGTGCCTTCCCCAGGTTTAAAAATAACTTTTCCCAGTATTACGTGCTTCAGGCTGTATCCATCAGAGGGTAGAGGTGATTAATTTGGACTATAGGTGCTTCATGCGAAAAGGCTTGTGTGCCTTTTTAACTTTATATAACAATTTTAGACTAAAATTTGAGGTAGAGAAAGGTGGCTAGAGAAAAATAATAAAATTTAAAAAAAAAAAAAAGTCCAGAAAAACAGGACTTTTTTCAAAGTGATTTTCAGCCTAGTTGAATGATTCAGGTGTTCCTAACTACACCAAAGTATTATTGCTTGGATGGATTAAAATCCTTTCTGCTGTTTCTTCTTCATAAGCATACTTCCAAAAAGTTACACTGAGGAGAGGGGGACTAGAAGGTAAGGATATTAAGTATTGCAGTACTATTTCTCCTACCCAGTTAAATTTGGTGTTTCATTAAATGTAAGAACATCATGTGTGTGAAATCTTGGTTTGTGAATATTTGTGAAATCTTGATTTGTGGCCTTCTTACGATGGGGCTATGGTGTTGCTGGATAAGGGAAGTGTGACTGACATCATCTACCTGGACAAGGCATTTGACGCTGTCCCACATGACATCCTTGTCTCTAAGTTGGAGAGGCATGGATTTGACACGTGGACGGTTCAGCGTACAAGGAATTGGCTGCAACTCAGAGTTGCAGTCAGTGGCTTGATGGCTGGAGAGAAGGGATGCTACCCAGAGCGACCTTGACAGGGTCTAGGGGTGGGCCAGTGCAAACCTCATGAAGTTTGCACTTCACAAGGCCAAGTGGAAGGTCCTGCAGCTGGGTCAGAGCAATCCCAAGCAAAAATACAGGCAGGGCAGTGGGTGGATTGAGAGCAGACCTGAGGAAAAGGACTTAGGGTTGTTGATGGATGAGAAGCTGAGCATGGATTATCTTTAAAGTCCCTTCCAACCCAAACCGTTCTAGTGTATATCTGGTATGAAAGAGATGAGTGCAGATGCAGAACCTGTATGTGTGTGGAATGGGCAGCAAGGTAAAGCACATGATAAATAACCAATGCGGAAACACCAGTTTTAAAAAAAAATAGTTGGAGGAAGCCATCTTCTCACATAACTTCACAGATTTAATATGAGGTGAAGGTGTAGTTCTATGGTTTTGTTCAGGTTCCCTGATGAAGTCCAGAAGGAGCAACAGTATCTTTCATTGGGTGAATGGATGTACTACAGTGTCAGATAAGTTTTTCTTCAGGGTATTACAAGCACAGTCAGCCTGTCCAGTAGTAGCACCACCAGCTCTGGTTAACTGTTCTGTATGCTTACTAGTGAAATCATATCCTATTGTATGTTGTATTCAGTCAACTCAAGAGTTATGTGCAGGACAGTGTTGCTAGTCATATCTGATGTTTGATTCAGTATCTAATACTGGGTACAAGTACCTCAACTTCTACTGGAGTTCTTGCTCTTGTTGCCTTTTTTTCCCCCTGAAGTTCCTATGCTTATGAACCTGACTTCAGCATCCTCTTTATAACAACTTTCTTCCTACCTCTTTGTTCTTATTATGTCATCTTTGCTTTTTTTCTTTATTCTCAAAACATTTTGCAAGTCGCCTTTCACTTTTTTTTAATCCTTTCCCGCTTTTTCCCTGCAGATCTCTGAATCTGATCCTCCCTCAGAAACTCTACTTTCTTCCCTCTGCAACATACCTTGTTTATAAATTAAATACAGTTTTATACTGTTTCTGACTGCAGGTATTTCTATACTTCCTACTGAGGTGACATAAGTATTAATAATAATGCCTCCCATGGAAGCTCCCTCTGGCACTGTAAACTGGCTCATTTCCAGCAGCTGTTCCTTGAAAGTACTCTGGTTTACTGATTGCGTTTGTAACAGATTAATTGTAAGCCACGTTTCTTATCAGGGAATGGATGATCTAGGTGTGCTGACCTCCCTTCTTAGTGTTTTGCTTTTTAGTCCATTGAAACCTCTTGTACTGCAAAGGTGTGCTAGGATTAACACAAATGGAGTTCTAGAATTGTTTTCATTGAGTCTTTGTTGGACAGTGGTTTTATTCCTACTTCATGGCAGATTTTGAAATATGGCGTTTCTAAATAATTTGTGGTTTGGAGAAGGATTTATCTCTAAACACTTTGTGTTTATCCTGGATTCTGAAATAAATGCCTATTTTAGTATGAAGAGACTAGTGTGGAGAAAAGCTTTGCAATTACTGTACAGCTCTTATATCCTGAACTGTGGAATTGCTTGCATTTGCTACTGAAAATAGAAGAAATATATTTGTGCACAGAACATTCTATTTTTCATTAATCTAAATGTAAGGAAAAAAAACATATTTGTATCTAAATATACAGGGGTAGGGCTACCTTTTCCTCTATTTTGTTAGATTTGGGGGAAAAAAAAGCAGGGAAACTGAAGCTTTCCTCACTTTGTGCAGAATTTATG